ATCTGTCTGGAACGTAGCCATTTGGAACATAGCTAAGAATAAAGCAGTAAGTATAAAAGGTTTAGGAGCTGCCAAAATAAAAGTAACATGAGACATTTTATTCTTAGGAGAGGGTTCAAGCTAAACCTATTGTCTTTTTATATTCAATTACCTTATAAGCTTTTTGGTCTATTTTCTGATTCCATAGTAGATTAAAATTGATACAGTAATTGCAGAAGAGAGGGCATAAAAACTAGGAAAAGAACAGCTCAAAATGGAGACCAGGGTCTTTTTAAAACAGAGAAAACTATCCTACACATAGTAATAATCTCGGAGGGAATTAGTATATACTAATGGGTATAATGTTCAAAATCAAAATGGTGAGCATGAAAAAAATGATGACCATGATTATTCAAGAAAAGGGTTTAAGTTAAGTCCATCATAAAATGGTAAAAGCATATGCAGTGTACTTTAGATATTTATATTCCAGTTCTTTAGAGTAAAAAAAAAAGGTTATAATGCTTCAAGGCAGTGTTTAATTAGGAGTGGGGAACCTCTGGCCATAGGCCATATGTGTCCTTCTAAGGATTTACCTGCAGTGTTTTGACTGAATCTAAATTTTACAAAGCAAATCTTTTTATTTTTATTAATACATTTTTGTTTGTCTTTTATATTTTTATTTCACAATGAAGTAATCCTCTCAGATTGGCACAGTTAGAACATTATTAAGGTATAAGGGCTAAATTGACAGCTGCTATGCTACAGCTGCATGAAGCTGGTGGGTGAGACTTTATGGGGGCCAAGTACTCCAGTCTGTTATCAGCTTTTGGTGATGGTGTGCTGTGTTTCTGTTTGAAGTGGAATTTGTGAATAGTCGCACAGCTCTACAGTATTTTAAAATTCTGTCTGTTTAGGCTGGGCACGGTAGCTCACGCCTGTAATCCTAGCACTCTAGGAGGATAAAGTGGATGGATTGCTTGAGCTCATGAGTTAAAGACCAGCCAGACCCCGTCTCTACTAAAAATAGAAAATCTGAGGCAAGAAGATCCCTTGAGCCCAAGAGTTTGAAGTTGCTGTGAGCTATGATGTCATGGCTTCTACTCAGGGCAACAGCTTGTGACTCTGTCTCAAAAAAAAAAAAAAAAAAAATTCTGTCTGCTTACCAGCCCATCATGTCAAAAAAGACCAAGAGAATGCTGAAGGAAGAAAACAAATTTTTAGTGAGGATTGGGAATTACAGTATTATCTTATTTCTGCTAAAGATAAGGTGATTTGCTTGCTTTGTGATACTGTAGTATCAACATTAAAGAAATCCCGTGCACACAAGTATTCGAAAACTCATAAGGACCACACATATGTTAAATTCAAGGGAGAGGTGCAAAAAGTTGTATTGCAGAAATTAATTTATGAAAATCAAGATAATACTTGAAAAAAAAAAAAGTATTAAGAGATCCAGATCCTCTCATTTATTTATTTTTAGTTTTACTTTTTTTCAGTCTCATTTATTTTCACTGTATCTTGCATCAGCAACATCTCTGTGCCAAAGCT